TGGGCTTAATTGAAAGGACCCTCAAATCATGGTGCTTTTCTGTACGTGTTAAGACCTCAGGTAGCTCAGGCTTGCCTCATATTCGTTAGGTTTAACAGTAGTGCCCAGGACCCAGGACTTTGTAGTATGTAGTATGCAAGGAAAACACACTACACCCAAGCACCGAAATTCCTATTGACACCCAAGTTTAACTATATGACAGCTTGTTACAAGTCTGATTTACAGTGCTTGGTAATCTTGTAAACAGCTGGTTCTCCTTCCTTTGGTGCCTATGTTGTATTTGCAGCTATATTCCTCTTTGAAGGAACAATTTAGGTAGGGCTGCTTCATTGTTAAAACTGATGCCACCTTTCAGATAAAGGTGAAGCTCTGTGGGTGTTTGGAGGCAAGGGCTTAGACTTAGTAGAGCAACCTGTGGGTTGAGACCCTTTTGAGGTTGAATGACCCTTTCACAAGGGTAGCATATCAGGTTTTTACATTACAATTCATAACAGTAGCAAAATTAGTTACGAAGTAGCAACAAAAATAATTTTATGGTTGGGGTCAACACAATATAAACTTCATTAAAGGGTCACAGCATTAGGAAGTTTGAGAACCACATATATAAATCTTACGACTTAATAACTTCACTTAGAGAACTGTAGTTTGAGCTAACTAGTTTCCTCCAGCCTTTGTTGCTGGAGGATGATAGAGTTGACATTTGTTGAGGTTGTATCTTTACTGGAATGTAAGCATCTGTCCCCTACATTGTGTTTTTTGAAGGGGTACTCCATTAACTTTGTTTGCTCAACAGTCCTGTGTGAGGAATAGCCAAACTATGTGAGGAGGCAGTGCTGTGTAGGACTGTGTTCCAGGTCCTTTGCTTGGGGCTTTTGCTCTGGTGTACTGGGCTGTGTTCTAGCAGTCCAGTTGCTTCACTGTGCTAAGAGCCCATTTGAATATTCCCATTTGGGGTTTGGAACATTGATTACTCTTGAATGTCTAGCTGGGGAAATTTTATATTAGGAGTCCTGTCTCACCAACCTTCAGTAGTCAGTTACAGTCAACAGCATTTTATCCCAACCATCTCTACCTGTATGCTGGATGGGCCACTTGCCTTGTAATAGCTTGGGGACCTCACTTAGGAGATCTGTTATGTGTAGAGGAGGGGTTGTTGTATATAGAAACATTGGCTAGCATTCCTTCCCCCCAGTTTTGGGTCTGTGAATAGTTCTGCATTGTGAGAGTGTTTGGTACTCCATAGAAGCTACACACAACAGTGATGAGAGAGCCCGTGTCAACTGGAGATTGGTGCAGACATAACTGTTATGACATAGTCAATGTATCACTTGTCTGAGGTTTTTTTTGCCACAGTGACTTCATCCCCTTGAGAGATTGTGTGAACCACAGTTACCTTTTATTGCCCAGTATGTGTTGTCTGTGCCAATCACAGCTGCAGGGGAGCAGGCCTAGTTGGAATAATTAGATTGAGGAGGAGTGAATGTCACACTTCTAATTTCATTCTCTTTTTTAAGGGATTACCAGTGTCCCTTTAATAAAACGAGATTAGCCTTCTGCAGCAGAAGTATTTGAAAGCTGTCAGTATAATCATGACAGCTCAAAAGATGTGTTTTTAGCACTCCTGTAACTTGTTGGGTGATTGCACAGGGCTGTGTGCATACATACCAAAAGGGCATGTGATGTCTCCTTTTGAAGACTATGCATATAACATTGAAACAGTGTGGAATAATGGACAGTTGAATTGTTAAGAAAATACTCACAGCTAGACACTAATGCTGTATCTTTTGTTGAATGTTGCAGGAAACCTCGCATCAATTCTCAGCTGGTGGCACAGCAGGTGGCACAGCAGTATGCCACTCCACCTCCCCCTAAGAAGGAGAAGAAGGAGAAGGTGGAAAAACCTGACAAAGAGAAACCTGAGAAAGACAAGGACATTAGCCCCAGTGTCACCAAGAAAAACACCAACAAGAAAACAAAGTAAGTGTCTGGGTACTGATTACTACGTATTAATTTGCACTTGGGTCAGATTTTAAATGAGGACTTATTTTTGTTTTCCTGGGTCTTTGCTTTACCCTTAGACCAAAGTCTGATATTCTGAAAGATCCTCCTAGTGAAGCTAACAGTATACAGTCGGCTAATGCTACAACAAAGACCAGCGAAACGAATCACACCTCAAGGTACTATGAAACTAGAGTGAAATACTAAGTTGTTGATTTAATCATAACCAAAAGCCCAAGATTCTGGTATACTTAGAGATTGTAGGCCGAGGGAGGTGGAATGAGGAACTAAGGTAAGGCTTCTGACCTTTTAGGTCATCATCTTGGCCAGAACAAAGAACAGAAGTGGTTTGCCATCTATGATCAAAAGTTCTGCCAGCTGATGGTCAATTGCTAAATGTGGTCAGCAAGCCTACAGTAGATGGGCAGCTTAGGTCCACGGGCACAAGCTTGCAGGAAGGCTCGTGTTGATGTTGTCACTCCCTCAATGTCTCCCTTGACGTGTTTCAGACCCCGGCTGAAGAACGTGGACAGGAGCACCGCACAGCAGTTGGCCGTAACTGTGGGCAATGTCACCGTCATTATCACAGACTTTAAGGAAAAGACTCGATCCTCCTCTACATCCTCCTCCACAGTGACCTCCAGTGCAGGGTCAGAACAGCAGAACCAGAGCAGCTCGGGGTCAGAGAGCACAGACAAAGGCTCCTCCCGCTCCTCCACGCCAAAGGGCGATATGTCAGCAGTAAATGATGAATCTTTCTGAAATTGCACATGGAATTGTGAAACTATGAATCAGGGTATGAGATTCAAACCCTCCACCTGCCCATGCTGCTTGCTCCCTGGAGAGTCTTCTGTGGACGACCTTGTAGTGATGCTACCAGGAGAGGTTCTGCTTGCCGTGGGCATCTGGCTACCAAGGAATTTCGTACCCTGACAGTTACTCTTGACACTTTTATGTATTCCATTGTTTTATATGATTTTCCTAACAATCATTTATAATTGGATGTGCTCCTGAATCTACTTTTTATATAAAAAAAATCTGCTGTGCACAATTTTCCATGTACATTACAACTGGTTTTCTGTTTCTGTTTTGTTGAAGAGGGTTGGGAGGGGGGAGGGAACTTTTATTTATTGTGTTCACAGACTCCATCCTGTCAGCATATCCTCTTAAATTTAGTTCTTTCTTCCAGCTATACTCTGTACTATCAGTTTTGATATAACTATATATATAAATATAAAATTATATATAAAGGGTTATTTGAAACCAATCCATGGCAACGCTGGTGCTTGATACACTGTGAAGTGAATACAACATTGAACAGTTGACACAGATCTGGGACAGTCCCTTCTATGAAAGTGCTGAAATATAATTAAAATCAGTCTTACATGAAGTATGTTCCAACCTACATGGGAACTTGACTCTCTCATCTGTCTTTAAAAGTACTGGATGATATAAAAAAAATATATTTTTTAAACAATGTGATCTCAAATTTAAAGACTGCTCCAGATAGCCTGCATTTGCGATGGGATAATTGACAAATCACAGGTGGGTTCAGTTGGAGGGCTTTGACCATTTGGAAGTAACAAAACTAGCTCCAGAATGCCAAGTATTCGTGTAAATTATGGTCACATGTTAACATTACTGTTCTTATTAAGCACTCATGAAAATATGGTGTTCTGTATCTCGAATTCCGGCCTTTTTCCAGACCTCTGCTCATGCCTGAGGCACATCTAGCAACTGTCTGTTAGTCCTAGGGTTGCAGTAGTGCATTTGTAATCCACACCATCTAGGGAGGCAGTCCTGTGTCTACTTCCCCTGTGACATTGCAGTGGTGGATTTTGTGATCGTGTCCTGTTTGCCACCCCCTACCCCCAGCCCCCAAACCCTCACCCTACCAATGCAGTTGTTTGTTTTCTTCTTAAAATCCTGCTATTATTCATTTTACTTAACAATGGTTGTCAACCGCACATCCAGTTTCTGGTGTCATTTCTCAGCTCCTTGTGTGGGAAAGGATTGCAGGGGTGCACGGGCAAGTCACAGGGCAAAAGCTCCCGTCCCAGGAGAGTGACCAGGCGGTCTTTGTCTTCTCAACAGAGATGGCATGACTGAACCCTGAAAGTTTCTTTTCACTTTTCCATTTTGGGGGCGGGGGATAATCGAAGACCACTAATAACCCCATCTCATCCCAAGTTTGGGTGGTTCTGCTTTGTACTTAGATTCAGGGTATCTCTCCTTTCTGACTTTACCTTCATATCCACTCTTTGTAGTACTTAAGTCACTTTAAGCGTGAGAACGTGGTGTTAACCTTCCTTTATTGGATCACACTCGAAGGACTCACGGGAAAGTGTGTGTAAGGAAACACCACATCTTGGTGTTAACCTGGTTTGCTTAATAATAGAACTGATTTCGATCTGTGGAGGCAACAAGTTAAGAACATTAACAGCTTGAATTGAGTAGCCAACAGGAACGGTTCCATTCACATTTACATTAAAACCAGTCCAGTCATTCTGCACCGTAGTGTATGTTCTGTCCCAAAGGCAGTGCTGTTTGTCGCTGGGCTCCTGTTCTCAGAAGCATGGACAATGCTCCCCTCTTTTTAAAACAGTGCTTGTATCTGGGATGCAAGCTGTACTTACCTTTTTAAATACCTTTTTAAAGTATTTATTAATGAACCAAAGGAAATCAGGTGCTTTCTGTAAGCATCAGAATATATAATACATAGTGATTTGACTATGAATTTTAAATCCACATTTTAATATTAGTGGGGTATTGCAAAGACATTCCTTCTAAAGTTTTAGTATTCCTTTTATTAAGGGTCTCAGGGAGGGTTAATTAGTCAGCCATATTTATTTTCCAGAGGTGTAAGGAATTGCTAAGTTTTTTAATTAACTTTTTAAAAAAATTTAAATGCCACCAAATTCATGTGGATTGCACTGCTCTTTGAACCAATAAGTGTTGGTATGCACTTTGTTCAGAAACACTGTGTACTTTTTCAAAACGAGTTTCATGTAAAGTGATTGGACCCCCTAGATTAGTGGGAAAGGCTGATTTACCAGCTCCTCATAGGCTACTAATTCATTCATCGCCCATGTCTTGGTTTTTCAGTTTTGCCTCCGTGATAAATTAATGAGGAGGGGTGAAGGGAGGGAAGGCTTCAGAACGAGTGGAGTGAACTTGCCATGAGGTAGAAACTGCAGCCGACAGTGGCGGAGTCCAAGCAGTCTGCTGTCCCTGGCCCCCTGTCGCTGCTGTCACAGGCTCTGTTGGGGTGGAGAGGTGGTAGGTGCTACACGATGACATCCCTCAGGCATGCATTCTGGAAATGGAATTCTTACTAGCTTCCTGCATTTACAGTTTGCCCTACTATAGTACTCAGTAGGTAAAAACACTAGTGTAGCTTACAAAGAGACATTAAGAGGACCAGAAATACTTGGTATTCAGTGGCACAGAAAGCATATTAAAACAAAAAGCACAGTGTTAAGGCTTGCAAGTTTCCCGTATGTTTAGTACATGATCTTTCACACTCGTGTGTACACGCACAGAGCTGACCTGACTTGCTCTGCCCGAGGCATGCAATTGGGAGGGAAAAGAAAGACATCTTGATAACCACGAAAATATTTTAATCAAAACCTTTCAGTTTGGATCTGGATCTGGGTATTTCGGAACATTGGCAGAAGCTTCTGTGAGTTTAGCTCCACTGAGATGTCTCGCCTGCCTTATCAAGATCATTCTCAGTCTACATTTTTAAGCTACCGTATCTTAAATTATTGAGAAATTATTAATTGCTGAATATATAATAATCTTTGCTTGTATGTTACCGAAAATGGTTAAGAGCCAACATTTAGAGTGTGACAATGGAGCTGAACAGTTTCTAACGCGCAAGCAGTTCTGTTCTTGTGTATGACTTGTAACCTTAATTTACTGTGTAAAGATGGTTACATTATTTCCTTAGCTTTGTTTGTTGGAGACAGATAGCGAATGCTTGTTAAGTATGTCAGAACATAATCTTCCCTTGTGAACTTTTGTTAATGTCTTATACGAGCTCTATTTTCCATTTGCCCAGAAAGATGGCTTGTATAATGCTTTGGAAGTTTCTGCTCCGTCCGTCTTAGAGCTGACAGTCTGTTAGGTTTGTTTTCTCTTCATGCTAAAGTGTCAGTGGTTTTGTGAACTGGTCAGAAATTCACAGGTCTTAAATGTTTGGGGGAAATTTATATTGGACACTGCTCTTTGTCTAGCAAATAAAAGATGTTAATATATTCCTGTTATTGGCATGTGCACGACTATGTTATTAGAAGCCACTTTATCATTTTCCTGCTTTAAATAGAAATGTCTATTTATGAATTCTGCTTGTAGTTTTTTCACAAATAAAATAGTAAAATTTACATTGGAGATGATTATTTTTGTTGTTCCGTAGACCTTAGCTCTTAGAAAAGCCTAGTTTCGCCCCATGCCCACTTGTGGTATGTTTCCAGTGGGAATAGAGCGTATAGTTCCTTCCGTACTTGTGTTACCACAAGCTGAAGGTTATTTTGAGTGTCTTAGTTATAGATCACAAATGTACAAGAAAGAATTGAGTCAAAGAACTATCAGAATTTGGAAGAAATTGGTTGTGTCTAAAAGCTCCTTTCAGATAAGCTGTGGTGATCTAAAGGAACTGAAGGTGTCTTCCAATGTTTGAAAGCCCTTAGACAGAGCCCCTGCTCTTGCCAGAGTACATTAAACCTGTTGTGACCAGATGGAGTAAAACATCTTGCCTGGCCCACAAGCCCCCACAGCCTGGCTTCTTACCTGCTGCTGCTTGTGGCCTGCCTTGGAGGATTCATGCTGAGGACTGTGTCTGGTTCTGTGCTCGAGCTGGCACCGAAGGGAAGGGTGCAAGTGGGACTCTTGCCTTGAAGAAACGCTTACCAAATGTTCCGTGTCTGTACTTCATCACTGTGCGATTCTTCAGAAGTATTAGGAAGGTTTCAAGAGTGTTGGGAGCCACCTGGAGGCACAGGTGGTCCTGCAGTTTGGAGGTAGCCACGTGGGGCTGAGCACCCTTGCCTGCACCCTTGCTTGCACATGCTCAGAACAGCAGAATGGCATTAACCAATCAGGACAGCGTTCAAGCCTCTCCACCGTTTAAAAGCAGCTGCCTCGGGGCCCAACGCTCTCTCTCTAAGCTTTCTCTTGTCCCTGCTCTATCTTCCCTTCCCCCAATTTTCCTCAATCAAAGGGCTCCAAATAAAGATGTGACCAAAGAAGGAATTCTCGTTTTTGGTGGCGTTCATTCCTGCTGGCCAGGATGCGCGCCGCACAAGAGCACGGAGTAAATGGTGTCCGTGTTGCTGTTGTTTGTGCTGGGACATCTTAGGTGCAGAAACATTCTCTGCTCTCCCCATACTTGTACTTATAGCCCCTTTGTGGGGGGTCCCACTGGTAGTGGTACTGGGAACATTTAAGGAGGTTGGAACCTCCCATGTGACATGTGCGGACACCAGACATCAGGAAGAGTAGATTATTAACCTCACTGTCCAAGAGGCCAAAGCTAAATACTACCCAGACCTGAGAACTGCTTGCAGGTGTGACCTCAATGTGCTAATTGGCGCTTGCTGAAGGAATTGCACAAGGCCAGAGTGATGTTAAAGGCTTGGCAGTGCCTGGACAGCCAGCTCTTAACTAAAGCAGAGGAAGCCTGCTGGACCTTGACACTCTGAACATGGAAGGAAAAGCGGGACAGGACAGCTATAGAGCTTTCTTGGAGGCAGGCTGATAAGTTCGGCCAAGTCCTGTTTGCTAGTCATTGATGGTAGCTATGGCTTAATCTGCCTGCCCAGTGGAAGGGGGCAGTTGGTCTTACAGGAAATGCTCTGGTTTTCCTAGAAAAAGCACAGGCTGTAGGTGGGAATACAAGTCATGGTGGGCCTAGGCAGACAGTGGCGTGGAAGGTATGCATGTGATGTTCTGCCTCGCATTAGCCAAAGTGGGGGTGGGGGTTGGGCGGCTCTCTAAAGTGACCAGGCTGTCAGGCCTCAGTTTTGACCAGGTATTCAGAGGTTGCTGGGGGTGAACAGGGAGGTGGAGGAGACAGTTGGCTTGGGAGAGGCCTACTGTGCAGCTGTCCCCACTCAGCCCTGTGTTTGATGCTGGGGCTTTGCATATGCCAGGTGAGCGTCTCTACTACTAATGCGCCCAGACCCTTTTATAAGTTTTATCTTTGAGATGACCTACCTAAATTTCCAGGCAAATCTTGAACTTTTGGTCCTTCTGCCCTGGCCTCCAGAGGAACTAGGATTGCAGGCCTACACAGCCAGACCCAGCTATACCAGTGCCTCTGCCCTAGACCTGTAGGGCAAGCATTGCAGGCTGCTGCAGTTTAACACCGTGGGCTCAAACCAGACATCACTAACACAGACGTTGATAACTCATGCTCCCCTGACATAGAACCCATGTGTTATTCCTGCTCAGGACAGAATTTACTCAAAACTTTGGAATTAACATCTGAGGAACTGAAGCTAGGGATCCAAGGAGGCCAGCTGAGAGGCTTGGAGGAGGAGAGAAGAAACCGCCTAGAACCTCACTGGCTCCCTGCAGAACATTGCCAGATCGGAAGATTCCCCAGGCATTTTTGCCAGGACTGAGCCCTATAGCCTGAAGAACAGCCCAGCCCCAGACTCCTGACCCTAAGGACTGTGGAGTTCCGAGTGTACCATGTAGTCCAGACCAGGATCTGTCTATCCAGGCTATACCCCCCATTTTCTAGTCTCAGCCATAAACCACAAGCAGATGAACGAGTGGATGCTACTTCTGGAAGTGACAGAATGGAGCAAGAGAGACTCACCTCCGGGGACTGGGTGATCCTGGGCAGTTCAGCCTCACAGGTGTGAAAGTCCTTGCTGAGACAGTCGATCTGCACTCTGGCCTTGGTCTCTCTGACGCCCTGAGAAGTGACTGTTACCATTTCTAGGAAGAAGAGGAGATTCATTTTCATGCATTTGTATTATGTTCCTGGATAAACTCACTGATAACAAGAGCTTGGTATGATTGGTTTGTTGTGCTTTTTGATTGTGACTATTTTTTCCTGGCCCGGAGGCAGCGCCACTTGGTCAAAGGCCATGCATAAATGAATGAAATTCAGGGGTGGCTTTGACAGCTGTTCTGTATTTCTGTGGCTACAGTGTTGCACCCAGTGTGGCTTTCCAATGTTTGAATTTTCAATCAGTTATGCTCATTATTGTTTGATTGCCAATTATTTTGTTTTAATTTTTTCCTAGTATATTATTTGCTGAATGAAGCAATGGGTTTTGTAATAATTTTTTTAAATGATGTATTTAATTTTATTTTATGTGCAATGGTGTGAAGGTGTCAGATTGCCCCAGAACTGGATTTACAATCATTTATGAGCTGCCATGTGGGTGCTGGAAATTGAACCCTGGTCCTCTGGAAGAGCAGTCAGTGCTCTTAACCGCCGAGCCATCTCTCCAGCCCCTTGTAATTACTTTTTTGACACTCTTAAAATGCCTTTAATCCCAGCAGTAGGGAGGCAGAGGAAGGCAGATCTCTGTAAGTTCAAAGCCAGCCTGGTCTACAGAGTGAATTCTAGGACAACCAGGGCTACACAGAGAATCCCTGTCTCAATCCCCCCCCCCCCCCGAATTTAAGGTTTTGGAGGTTTCCTGTGTATAGGGTGTTTGTTATGCCTCCCATCTTCTCTTATTCCCATTCCTGCAGACCCCTTCTACCCTCTTACCTGTGCAGGTGATCACAGCTACTGTGGTTTTGTGATTGCCACGGCCACATCATGTCTAGAAGACAGCGTTTTGGAGAGCTTCTCTCCATCCTCCGCTCTCATACTTTCTGCCTCCACCCCGATGTCCCCTGGCCTCAGGAGACTGTATTTCTGCTGAGAACTTTGCCTACAGTTATCATCCTCGGTTGCCCTGTCCAGTCTCTTCCTGCACCAACCAGCTTCCCAAATAGTTCCTTTTCTGTTGTCGTGTCATGTGTATATGTATACAACCTACATTCTACAAATTTAACATGTTTCTCTCCATATCTGATAAAATAAGCAATATGTCTTTCTGGGTCTAGTTTATATTGCTTAGTATGATCTCCAGTTTCATCCACTTTCCTGCAGATGATACAATTTCATTCTTCTTAAAACTAAATAGAATCTCATTCTGCTACCTCTTCTTGCTTTATACTCCTGAAGAATTAGCAACCTAAGTACCTGCCATCGTGGAACTATGTTTAACTCACAGGAGTTGTTGAGGTTTGAACTCAGGACTTCATGCATGCTAAGCAAACACTATACTGTACCAACCAAGCCACATCCCAGCCCATTAGAATAGTAACTGCTTAAGTCTCAAAAGCTCAGAAAAGTCCTGCAAAGACTTTCTTGCAAAAGAACAAAGATCTGTTCCCCTGTCGTCACCCTGATATTTTTTAAACAGTCTAAATCACCAACTAATATGATGCAGCGGAAGGCTTTAGTGATCAGAGCAAGGGACTGTCAGGCCCAAGTACTACATACAAACCACTCTGTTTGGAGGAGAGCATTGCGCCTCCGACACTTGAGAGGCTTTATGACCTGAAGAATTCCTGGCTCCTGGCAGATGTTCAGAATATGCTGGTTTTTCTGCTGGCTTTAGCTGTCAACAAGGCCCTGCAGACATCATTTTAGTCACACTGCAGCTTAAAAGAGTCATTCCGCACCCCACAAGCCTTTCTTTCCAACAGTAGGTGAGATGTTGGCAGCTGGCCATGACCATCCACTTCCTTGCCTGTGAAAATCCCTTGCCACCCGAGACCTGTGCAGGTCTGCAGGGAGGAGCCGTCAGGCTTGGGGAGCCCCACGATCACGAATGCAGTCTAAGCTGGTAGTTCTATGGGGCTTGCCTTACCCCCAAGGGAAGGTAGTAACGTTAGCAGGATGGTGGAGTGGGCCTGACATGCAAAGTCAACATGTATTCCAGGACCAAAGCCCAAGGCCCTAGAAAGACCCTGTTTTTAGTCTATCTCCCCAAGTGCTTGTGTTAGAAGGTTCCTGAATGGTTGATGTTTTTGTACCTGCCTGCAATACATTGTCTAGGTGGGGAGAAATATTTACTAACCCAAAATATAGGGGAGAGAAAAACTTCCTTTCATCCCCGGTGTTCATTGAGTTCATGAAACAAACTCAGTATGAGACCAACAGAAGAAACGCCATTTTCGCCTCATCCTTAGGAATGGGAGTGTTCCAGCAAACTCACATTCAAAGAAGGGCCTGGCGCCTGACTTTTATGTAGCTATAAGGAACAGGCTTGGAGCTTCTGGGAGTTGCTGAAGACCACTGTAGGACGATGAGGGGAGAAATAGGAGCAGGGGTGCTCAGCCGAAGCAGAAAATGTTGTTCCTCAGAACTGAGAGTGGCGGCGTGTGCCTGTAATCCCAGCACTCGGGAGGTGGAAGCAGGAGGGACAGGAGTTCAAGGCCAGCCTCAACTATAGATTGAATTCTAGGCCAGTCTGGGTATGTGAAACCTTATGCACAAAACAAAGCAAGTCCCATGTAAGAAGTGGCAGTCCTGTAACAGTCTGTGGTGTCAGCCTTGAGACTTTCCCTGGAAAACTGAGTTCCTCTGACCTGGTGAATAAGATTCTCAGGGAGGGGACCTCTGACAACTCAAGTCTGTTGGAGACTGTACGTAGGTGTGATGGTTAATTAATCTGCATTGTCCATCTGTTAGCATTTAGAATCACCATGGAAACGCCACCCTGGACTTGTCTGTAAGGGAGTTTCTGGATTGGTTTAGCTGATGCGGGAAGATCTGCTCTGTATGTAAGTGGTGCCCTCCTGTGTGTGGGGGGTCTTGGGCGAACACAAAGAGAAAGGCATCCCACTGCTTCTGCTCACTGGCTGCCCCAAGCTCCTGACACCACCATGATGGACTTCCCCAAACCGGAGGCCAAATGAGTCCTTCCTTCCTCAAGTTACTTTTGTTGGTATTTTATCTTAGTAATGAGAAAAGCAGTTAAATAGCTGAATGAGTCAGGCTTAGAGAAAGGCCCCTTAGAGCCGGGATATACTTTCTTGGACCAACAAGGTCTGCGCAGGCGCCAGAAGGTGCTAGAGTTCCTGCAGGGCTCTCATCGAGCAAACTGCACGCGGGTGCACCTCACTTTGGCACACTGGTCCCAACGGTGATCTTTCAAGCCCCATTCTGTGTTTGGCAATGGGCTATTGGGGAGGGACAGTCCCAAGGATTGGATCTGAAAATGATCTCTTGGGCAGCTTTTAGCCAGTTCTCTCCAGCCTTCTCCTGCATGTCCAGAATTATACGACCCACAAATTCACATATTACTGGCCTTTTGGAGAATTTGGTTGGTTCTTGATTTTTGCAGCCTGGCTTAGCATTTGACTCTCTCAAGGCAGCGGCCTACCCATCTATTTTTCAGCTTCAAATATTTTCTTGGTGTTTCCCTTCCTTTCTCTCCAGACTTATGGCTTTATTTTGTTGCTTTAAAAACAAACAGGGTCGGGGCTGGAGAGAGGCTCAGCGGTTAAGATCACTGAATGCTCCTCCAGAGGACCTGGATTCAATTCCCAGCACCCACATGACAGCTCACAACGGTCTGTTACTCCAGGATCCAACACCCTCATGTATGCATGTAAGGCATGTATGCAGGGAAAACACCAATGCACACAAAATAAAATACAGAAAACAGAAACAACAAAAATAACACAAAAGTACAACAACAACAAAAACCAACGTCTGGAGAGAGGACTTGGCAGTTAACGGCACTGGACACTCTTCCAGAGTACTGGGGTCTAGTTCCCAGTACCCACATGGCACACGATCATTTGTAACTCCAGTTCCAGGGGACCTGACACCTTTTTCGGGCCTCCGTGAAAACCAGGCATGCATGTGGTATATAGCCATACATGCAGATGAAATACCCAAACATAAAAATAATATAAACAAACAAAACCCGTCTTTACCTGAAAGCATAATTTTTTTTTCAACTAATATTCAGCTTCCTGATGATAGTGTGCAATAAGCTAGACATAGTAAGGAACTTCCACAACCTGAGGAAAAAGTACCTGTGTAAAAGTCCAGGGTGAGGACGCGGGCTCTGTACAAGGATATCCGTTCATCTCCCCTGGGATTCTCGCCAGGAATCAGGTAAGAAGATGCAGTAAGTGGCATCGAGATTGGAAAGGAAGAAGCAAAATAGTAAAATTATTCGTCCGTACACATGACATCATCTTTTACATCTGAAGTCCAAAGCATTCTAATAAATAAATAAAGTCCCCAACGCTGTTATACCAACGAACCTGGGGAGAAGTTCAGGAAGACGGCACATCAGAAGAACAGGGTACAAGAGCCAACGTGACTTCCATACATTTGCACCGGACACACTGGAAATGAAACGCAGGACCATTAGAGGTGCTGCACCCAGAGCAGCTTAGTCCTGGAAACCCGACTAAGGGCAGTGAGGAAATGAGAAAAAGACAGCCACACAAACGTGTGTACAGAACAACTGGGGTCAGGTGGGCCATGTGTATTCTCAGGGAGTAGCATCAGCTACCCACTCACGTGTTCACTAGGAACCACACCCCGCGGGAGGGCGTGGCTAGTCGCCTTAGGCAGCAGTTTCGGGCTGTCAACATTTGGGAGGAGGAAGCAACAGTTGCTAGCTTCTGGACACACCACCAGCGTTTGCACTCAGACCAGAGGAAGGCTTTCTCAGTTCCAACCCTAACCTGTGTGTATGTTTATGACCATGCCACTGCCGTGGGTCTGAAGCATTGGTCCCTGTCGTGGCCGTGCCGATGTCAACAATACACATCCACTCAGTGCCTGCTTGGCCCGCAGCAAAGGTGGGCCAGCTTAATGGCTCAGGGGGTGAAAGTATTTACTTTCGTGCCTGAGTCCCTGAGTTCAATCTCTGGGACCCACATCGTGTATTGTGATGTTTCAGTCTTTTGGAGTTTTTTTTTGGGGGGGGGGCTCTACCACCCAGCTCCCAAATAAATCACGGCGGCTTATTCTTAGTTAGGAATACCCAGCCTTAACTTGGCTTGTTTCTAGCTAGCTTCTCTTAAATTATTGTGACTACTTTTTGCCTCTGGACTTCTATCTTTCTCTTATTTCTATGTCGCTTTCTTCTTTCCCTGTAGCGGGGTGGCTGGCCCCTGACCTGAGGTCCTCCTCGCCTCCCTCGTTGTTTCTCCTTGTACTTACACTCTCTGCCTGCCACCCCGCCGATCCTTGCTCCTGCAATACGGCTCGCTAGTAAACACCATCAGGTGTTTTAGACAGGCAAAGAATCACAGCTTCACAGAGTTAAACAAATGCAGCATAAACAAAAGCCACACACCTTAAAGTAATATTTCCCAACAATCGTGGAAGGAGAGTGTGGATTCCTGAAAGTCTGGTCTCCGCATGTGCACTATGTGTGCACTTTCACACACACAAACACACGCACATACACTAAAAGGTAACCACAGAAATGTAAAATAAAAACATTTAGAAATATTTATAACAAGTGACTATAAAACCTATGTTCTGAGACACTGTTGGAAGAAATCAAAGAGCTAGGTGGGTCGCAAGACATCCGGATCACTGGAAAGAAGGCAGACTGCAGAAATGCCTGTCACAGCCAATTGGGCATGGTAGACCCACGCCTGTGGTCTCAACCCAGTCCTCTCTGAAGTCCTCTGCTTTGTCTGCCTGCTCTGCTTTGGAACCTCCATTTTCTGCAGCATTCCCTCCATCTTTGCCAGCGTTAGTTTTGCCCTTTTTCCTCCTGGGTACCTTCTCTCCCAACTCTGCAGGAGACATTTCAGTTTTTAGCTCCAGCCACAGAAGAGCAGGTTCAACATAGAACCTTGAGGTTCTTTTCTGAATCACCCACCATCCTGCCTTCCTCTCTTTTAGCAGCTCCTTCAGCCGTTCTTTTGAGCACGGGGTAGAGGGAGCACAGCCATAGTGCCGCAGTTTTGATAGGTCCTGGGACTATCCTCTCTTTGTTCCTTCCCCAAAATAAAAAATTTGAGTCTTCGAGGGGCACCATCACTAAGCTGAAAAGATGCTCACAGAGAGGCAGAGGCGTTTGTCAAATGCTGAGAAGATACTTCTGTTCAGAATGCACCTGGACCTTTTATAATTCAATAATAAAAAGATAATCCAATTAAAATCTGGCCAAGGGGTCTGAACAAGCGCTATAGGAGAATGTAAAAATGGCACCTAAAAGCCTATGAAAATGTGCTCAGGGTGATTAGCCAGGAGGGAAATGCAAATCCAAACATTGGTGAGAGGGATGCTTTATCCATGAAGACAGCTTAGATAAAGATGGACAGTCACAAGTGTTGGCAAGGAGAAACTGAACCCTCAAAAGGTTAATCCTAGAACCCAAGCAATGAAAACAGCACTTGGGAGCAAAGACTAGTGAGCCAGCCTGGTCTACAGAGTTCTAGGACAACCAGGGCTACACAGAGAAAACCTGTAATGAATGAATGAATGAATGAGTGGATATATGAATGTCTCCTCAGGAGGCTGGGCATGTAAGTCCAGCACTTGAAGAGCAAGTTTGAAGCTAATCTGAGCTACCATGTTGGTGCTGGGAATTGAACCTGGGTCCATCCTGGAAGAACACCCAGTGTTCTTAACTGCTGAACCATCTCTCCAGCCCCGTTATGCATACATTGTACAAGTTACTTAACCTTTCAGTACCTTGATCTCTCCACTTAGAGTAAATGGGGATGGAAGCAGTGCTTATCTTGGAGAGATAATATGGTTTATATGCTTTGACTAGTGCTTGGTCCAGAAAAACTATCACAGTTCTTGTCTATGTTGCGAACCCGCAGGTAGGGCACTGTGTCAGGGGAGAAAGCTGCCTCTTACACGTTCTGGTCTGTATCCTTGTTGCTCAGAGACCATCCACAGATGGATTATCTTTATCTGCCTGCTGTAAGTCCTAGGAATTTGGGTCATATGCCAGTCCCCCAGAACCAAAGCTGCTAAGGACTACAGCACTATGACAGGCCCAGCATGGTCGCAGACTCAGAAGTCCCAGGCCTGTGTATCACAGCAGTAGTCCACTGAGGCCACATGGAGGTGAGGTCAACAGGAGGAAGAAGGACAAATGCCAACTCCACTGTCACCCACTCTCAGGAAGTCCTTACACACTGCTGGCGAGAATCGAGTCCCAGGCAAGCTGAAGTTGGGAGGACTCTGTCAGAACTTCTGGAGGTGAAAGGGTTGGCCTTGGTGCTGGAGGCCGCTCTGCATCCTGCCTTTATCAGTGGAGACGTGAGGTCCCTCAGGCTTCCTTGAGGCCTCGCTTATGGAGCAATAGACCTTGAGCCTCTCCAGAGGTGGGGATAAGCAGGCCTTGTGGATGCGACTCTGAGATTAATCTCAGAATCTGTGACTCTTTTTCTGTTTGTTTTGTCCTTGAGGCAGGGTCTCACCGTGTAATCCTGGAACTTACTATGTAGCCCAGGCCGGCCTCGAACTCAGAGATCCACCTGCCTCTGCCTCCGAGTGCAAGGATTAAAGGCACGTGCCAACACACCTAAGTGAGACCCTCTTAATTTTGCAGCCACGTTATTATGAAAAGATGGTGGTCTCTTTGCTGTTTAAGGGGGGGAGGGGCTGCAGTGACGGCTCAGTTGGTAAAGTGCTTGCCAAGTACAAGGACCTGAGCTCAATCCCCAAAACCCACGTGAGAACGCTGGGCATTGGTGACACAGCTTTGTAATCCCAGTGCTGGGGAGACAGAGATGAGAGATTCCCTGGGTGGGGGATGAGGGCTGTTGCTGGCCAGCCAGGCTAGAACAGCAGGGCAGTGAGACCTTGTCAAAAAGAAGAAAAAAGACAGTTCCTGAGGAAAGGCAGCAGAGGCTGTTTTCTGTCTGGTATGCATACACATTCTCGCTCTCTCTTACACACACACACACACACACACACACACACACACACACTGGCTGGGAAACACCAAGCTCACATTGTAGATATGTAGATGTGTTGGTTTGAAATGGTGCCTGGGTAGTCTCAGTTGCATGGCCCATCTGGGAGGTAGCTACATATGGGGTCTGTCCGAACCAGAGAGCCATTTCACTAAGCCTACACCCTGCAATGTGGAATTCACGGGATCCTTCTGCAGAAATTCGAAGCTTGCAACAGAGAACCTTTGGAAGTTGGGGGTAATTAACCTTTCTGTGTAACATGAGCTTCCTCTGCTAAATGGAGGGGAAAGCTAGACCAATTTTAATAGCGAACAGATCCATGGTCTCCTCGGTTCCCACATGCTTCCCAGAGCTGTGGTTGCCACATGTGGCCTGGTATGAGGGGACAGTCACATGCAAATAGCCTAAGCTGGCCTGTAACTCATGCTGTATTCTTAGCTGGTCTAACGCTATGCAACCCACACTGTCCCACCTCTCATTACGTAGCTCAGGGTGGCTTCAAACTCACGGGCTAGCCTCAGCTATCCTCGAGCTAGTGTGAGGCTCCTGTCCCGGCATTCCCAGGACTGCTGCTACAAGCCTGGGCCACCGCATCTAGGCCCATCTCTTTTTCACTTTTCTCCTCTGGGTGACAAGGGCAGGCCTTGTCCTGCTCTGTCGCTATGGTGGCAGCTGTACCACTTTCCCAGCGCAGGCTTCACAGCAGAGTCCTGACCTTGTCCCTCTGTCTTTTCATCTGTGACCTCACATACTCCTCTCCAAGCCATTTGATCTGCTTGACCTCAGCCTCCCCAGAACAGAGTACCTGGTGGACAGAGCTCAGAGCCTAGGAGGTAGTGACAACAGCCACCAGCCTCCTGGGACCCAAAGAGGCCGCAGGCCAGGCTCATTTGACCCGTCTGAGGTTGAAGAGCCTCCACGTTCGGCTGTATTGGAACATCAGGATGACTGTGAGACCTGGGTGGTTGTAAACCGCAGCTGTCCTCAAGTCTCCCTGACTGATGTCTGACGGAAGGGCTGTGTCCCAGGAGGCTACAGGGAAGGAGCTGTCCCAGGCCTGCCTCCTGTGGCGTAGATGGACATCTTGTTCCGGTGACGTCACATAGTCTTCTCCCTATCTAAATGTCCACTCACGCTATGCCTTTGCTTGTTAAGTTTTATGTCTTGCTTTCCAGGCAGTCTCTTGCATCCCAGACTGGCTTTGAATCTTGGCCTTCTGATCCTCCTTTTCCTCCCTCCCGAGCGCTAGAATTACAGGTGCGTGCACCACACTGGTTTATAAAGGTTCCCTTTTATGAGGACAGCAGTCACAGTGAGGGGGTGCATCATAGCTTCCCAGAGACCTTGGCATAGGAGATCCTAATAACCCTCATGTGCTCTTGAGGGATGAGTCTTAAAAATCATGAAAAGTTCGTAGCATCTGATGGTTTCCTGAGTCAGGCACTGAGCTGAAACCTTTTTTTTGAGACAGGATTTTTCTGTGAAACTCTGGCTGTCCTGTAGACCAGGTTGGCTTGAATTTACAGAGATCTGCCTGCCTCTGCCTCTCAAGTGCTGGGATTAAAAGCATATGCCACCGCTGCCTGGTCAAAGTTGAAACTTTTTCTGGTGTGATAGTTAATTTTCTTTGTCAGCATGACTGGGTTTAGAATCACCTGGGAGACACACCTCTGGGCATTTCCAGGGAGGTTTAACCAAGGGGAGGGGGCAGATGTGTCCTGAATGTGGGTGGCACATGCTATGGAGTGGAGCCCTGACCTGAACGAAAAAGGAGGAAGGAGGAAGCAACTGCCCACTAACGTTTACCTCTCTGTGTTTCCTGACTGTGGACACAGCATAAGGAGCCACTTCACTCTCCTATGGCCGTGCTTCCCCACCGTGATGGACTCTGACTTCTGAAACAGGGACCAAGATAAACCCTGCCTCTCTGTATTTGGCTTTCTCTCACAGCAAAGAGGAGCATAACGCCTCTGGGGCCTATTTTCCTCTCAGCACGGGCTGACAGAAGATCCCTAGGGAGAGGAAACTGAGGCACAGATTCAGTAAGGGAGAAGCAGGTCCCTGAGTTCTATCAATTGCATCCTAAAATTAGCCCTTTCAAAGATGACAAGACCGAGGTTGCGAAGGGGGCAATTTGCTTGAGGCGGTTGACTGCCCCTCTACCTTTACAGGAGAGAAGTGAAGGCTGGAGCTGACATTTATCAGGGATCTAGAGGGTCAGTCCAGCCCCAGATGACCTGGCTTTGAGACAATGCCCTGGGCCTCCAAGGGCTATGAGTCTCTGTTTCCTGGCTATAAAATGGCGTCAGCAACAGAGGTGTGACTGTCGGACACCCTACATCTCCCTAAGGTTTCCCCAGCCCTGCACTACAAGGCCTGGATTTTTTAGGGCAGTGTTTGGCCCTAATCCAAGCCCCATAAATGACAGTTGGCGGGCTCTTGCCTACTCCCACCCCGACACCCCAACCCCCTATAATTGGAGTCTTGTCGGTGAGTTATTGGCTCCATGTTTTCATAGGCTCTCCCACATCCCCTCCCCACATTGCCTCCAAACAGAGGCCCTGTAAGACGGAGCCAAAAACATAGCTAAGAGAGTGTGTGCCAGTGACCCAGCCCCTGCAAGGGTGATGCAGAGAACTTTCCAGGGCTGGGCCTGTTCCTGTTCTCCCTCTGGCAGCTCATGCCCCCTTCTTCCTTTTACAGAAGCCGCTCTGTCCCCTCAGCCTGGGCCAGCCCCCCCCACCCCCGTTCTCTAATGGTTCTGGGAAGGGTAGGGGCTGTGTTTACAGGACAGCCAGGAAAGTCAGTCAGCCTGTCATTGTCTCACAGTCGGACTCCGACACGCAGCCAGGCCCACACAGCAAGGCCTGGTCGCCTGTAATGTGAGTCATGACCAGACAGCCAGTAGCCTGGCCAACATCAACCGGTCTACCCGTTAGCATATCCAGTCAGGGCAAGCACTTGGCTGGTGTACAACAGCCAGACTTGGCCGCATTGTCAGGGACATTCAGTCACGACTACTCCTGTCTAGGGTCAGTCAGACGGCCAGCCAGTATCAATCTGCCAGACGCTGTCTCGAGGGCGGATTCTGTGAGTCAGTACTACAGTCAGCAGGTCTCCTGGTCAGTCTCAATCTGTCAGCAAGCCAGTCAGACAGTCAACATCCAGCCGCCAGCCAGTGGGTACCAGTCACCCAGACAGCGAATGAGAACCAGTCAGCCATATTGTCAAGCCTGATCTCTAGGATAGTACTTCATAGCTACACTCAGTTTTCCCGCCACAGCCATCCACTCAGGCACAACTACTCCCATCATGAGGTAACAGCCAGGCCAACTAGATAGATCCGGTCACATGACCACTCTCCAATAACTAAGGTAAGTGGTTGGGCACAGTTGCTTTCTGTCTGCTGAGCAGTCACGTCAGAGGCAGCCACGGTCTGCGGCCTGGTGGGTCAACAGCCAGTCAGTAATCCTCCGAGGAGCAGACACGCCATCAAGGCAGTCAAGACTCGGGGGTCACAGGGAGACATGTAGTCCTACAATTAGTCTGGAAAAGACAGCCCCCTCCCAGCCAGCCAGCCTGCCAGTCACAGCCATGAAGCCATCAATCAAGCTTTTCACTGGACACTCTCAGGAGAGCAAATTCGGTCTGTCAGTCACCCGTCAGTCAGTCAGTCAATTGCCTGGTTATTTAGTCAGCATGAATTTTTAGGCAGCCAAACCAGCCGACCGCCCATTAACTCACTGTCATTGACCAGCCATCCAGTCAGGCACGCAGACCCCGAGAGCCAGCCGCCTGACTGACTCATCCTTTAGTTGGTCAGACTTAATCCATCAGTCTGGCTGCAGTCGGCCATGATTGTCACGATGTCACTGGATTAGGCCGGTTTTGCTTGCTATGCAGTGTTTTTGGAATGAGAAATTTACCCTTAAAATTTTTTATTATGTTTTTGTTTATTTCCTCTGTAGTGTGTGTGTGTGTGTGTGTGTACACACACACACACACACACACACACACGAGTGCCACAACATGTATGTGGAGACCAGAGGACAACCTGGGTCGTCAACCTCGGTGGCAAGTGCCTTAGCCTGCTGAGTCATCTTGCTGGCCCATTTTTTTTTTAAGCTGTAGAATGCAGTTGCTTTTTTGAATTTCATTTTCAAATTGTTTATCACCCGTGCATACCCACCTTTAGTCTCTGAGCCACCCTGCCAGCTCAAAATAATCTACCTGAGGCTGTCCAGTGTGCGGAAACAGAAGCATAGGACTCAAACTGTCTCCCCGGAACTGCAGAACTCGGAAGCAGGGAGGTCTGAGGTGTGGGGAAAGTATTGACAGGAAAGTGAGGTCGCGGGCATCTGGACCCAGGAGCTTCCTGGCTCTTCACAGGATGTATGTGTTCAGAAAGGGAGGCATTCACAAGCTTGACAATGGACTTTGGGCCCTTTGATATCAAAGGGTCATCAGCCTCTGGCATAGGCCCAAGCGAAAGCTCCCCAGTTTCAACCAGCTTGAACCGCCTCCAAGTTCCTGAAAAGCAACGGCCGCAACTCCTAGAGTCCCCCCGCTGTGACCGTCTTGCTCAGCTACCCAACCTCCACTGTCTGTGAGAAAAGCTTTAGATGTAAGTGAAGCCAGAGGCTACATCCGAGCTTCCTTCACTTTGAACAAGTTTCCCCTGTCAGTGACAGGGTTGGTCCCACTCACAGCCAGTCAGTCACCACAACACACCCAGCCAATGACCGTCAAACCCATTTGTCGGCTCACCTAGTCACTCTGAGAAACACTGAGTCCTCACGGTATTCAAATGGAGAAACCACTGGACGAAACATAAGACTGAAAACACCGCCTACCCTTCAACATGTCAAGAGCCAAGGGTTCCATGCAGCCTCCCTGTGTCTGATTCATCAGGACGAATAGGGCAGGGGAGGCCAGGACATACACACTGGAGTCCAGTGAGGACTGTTACCAGGCAGAGGGCCACACAGGCAGGTGTCCACAGACAGGCAGGGGATGCTTGGACAGTTTTCAAGCAGACAACCGGGATGTTCTGTGAGGATTTCCTGTGGCCTTGCAGTTAGGAGCTTTCTCTTCCCTTTCTCCCATTTCTCTTCCCGCCTCTTGGGCCTCCACTGCCCTCTCTCAGCCCCTCCTTACTCAGTCCATGTCTGCCTTCTCCCGGGACCACCCTCCCCTTCATACTCACACCCACACAGCTCCCAACCATCACATACCACCACGTTCACGCTCACCTCACATCCACATGTGTGTGCTACACACAGAGACATGCACACGTGCCTTACTTCTTGGCTGGCCTCCTCAGGCCAGAAAGTCCCGTTTCCAGCAGCCTGAGCGGTCGTCCAGCCTCTTCCTCTCTCCAGTCAGGACTTTTCACCTGTGAGGGTTGGCTTCGCTGGCCACCCTGCATTTGACTTTCCTGGAGACTCTTCTCACACCCTCCAGCGCCTCAGAACCTAGGTCGACAGGGAGGGCTGGGAGGAACCCGCTCACTCCCTTCCGAAGTCTAAAACTTAGTTGTAGTTCTCCAAACCCTGGCCGGCATCCAGTCAGAAGAGCAAGAGCAAGCCAGAACTAAGCGCCAGGGAACAGCTGTCCGTAGTTCAGAGATGGAGGCTGCCTTCCTTCTCCTGGCCTGAGGCAGAGAGCCTCGCTGTCTCTTTCCTTAAAACTCAGGGCACTTTAAGTTGAGTCCTGCAGCCCCACACTTCCTCTTCAACATGGGCTATGGTGACAGAGCCACCTGTTCCAAGCCTGGGGAGAGGATGGAGGGGTTTGAGGTGAAGAGCCCAGCAACAGAGCCTCGGGTAGGGGCTCCTAGAATCAGTGACAGCTGACTTGGGGTGAATTTGTAACACCTGGGCCCACTGGTGGTTCCGGCCAAAAGGTGCTTCTCTTAATCCCTTCCGTGTTTGACCTCCCAGGCCACACTGCCCAGACATTGTCTTCGCAATGGGGAGTAAGCGTCTCCCTTTCCCCACTACGCAGAGGAAGGGACAGCTCTGGGAGTTGAGGTAGGACTAACTGGCTCCTGGTCCTAGAGTGGTGTATATAGTACTACGGGCCCACGTGCCTCCTGCCCCAGCACCCAGCCCTCCCTCGGCTGCCTCAGAGTTGCTTCCTTTCTGCCTGCTGCCCTCTCTCACTACTGTTTGGGGCTCTGCTCCCGCTTCACACACTGTTTCTTCTTTCTTTAGAAATGAAAAGTGCAAATCGCCGGGCGCGCGGGGCACCCCACCCCCACCCCCTCTCCGGTCTCCGCAGGAGTTGCCCTTCCTTCCCCTCGGTGGTGGGATGTGAAACCGGAGCCGCTCTTCCGTTTGCCAAGTCTCCCCCACAGCAGTTGCTGCTTTAAGTGCCAAATCTGGTCCGGGGCATGTTTGGTGGCAGATCTGTGTTCCCTGGAAATGGCATTTCAGAAAGGAGGGTGCAAGCCCTGGCTAGGATGCTCTGTCAATAGTGACTGGGGTCTGGGTATCTATCTTCTGCCCTGCCCCCAAGAGCTAATCCCGGCACTTCAGCCGGCACGGCCACCCACAGCTGTCAGCTGCAGTCTGGTAGGAGCCCCTAACTCAGACCTCAGAGCCTACTCTTTTTGAACAGGCCAACGTCCCCAACAGGCTCCTTCCCTCACCTCCCCCTACCCCCCCCCCCCCCCCGCTTCTCCCCTGCTTCACTCTCTCTGTGTCCTTTCCTGCCCAGTTCTCGCAGCCCCTTCTCTTGCTCTCCACCACAGCAGCAGCGCCTCTTCTCTCTGTGGTCCCATCTGCTCTCACCTCTCTTCCTCCAGCAGCCTGTCTGTCTCTCCCTCTGTCCCGGCTTCCGAGCCTCGGGGTTCCTTCCTTTCCTCATCCTTTGATAAATGTGTTGACCTAACACCAGGTCTGTAAGGGGCGGGCTACTTACTCTGCAGGACTGCCAGCCTGCTGGCCTGGAGGGACACAAGGTCTCAGGTCCTCCAGTGTGCGCTCGTCCGGGGTGGAGTGGATTCCAGCCCCTTCAAGAGCACTTCCTCACCGGAGCTGCCACCGAGGACGTCGCCCATCTTTTATGTCTCCCAGAGGCTCTGCTCTCAGCCAGGTGTGTGATATCAGGGCCTGGGGCCTTCTCTCCTCAGGGAGGCTGTGGAGCTGTCATCTCCTGCGGAGCCCTGCTTATCTTCAGGCCTGGCTCATCTCTGGAATCTGCCTCTTTCCTCTGGAGGCCTAGCTTCATCTAGATTTCACAGTATCTGCGAGAAAGGCTGTCTTAGACCCCTGCAGGAACCCTAAGGGCCTGGCTACCCCCAGGGGCATACCTCACTCAGCAACCAACAGCTTCCCTGATCTCTCTCTCTCTCTCTCTCTCTCTCTCTC